GGGTCTCTAGGGCACGCGCAACACTGTCATTTCGTTCATTTCTCATTTTTTATTATTTAGTGCCAAAAACCCGTCGGGGGGACCGGACGTATGGGGGAGACGTCCAGTCTCCGGACCATCGGTAACCTAGCCAAAATGCCGTTAGAACAAACAAACAAATTTGAAATTTCAAAAGAAAATACAACACATTCACAACTCGCAGAAAGAACACATCCCCATCACGTCCAAAACAGAGAGAACAACTTTGTATGAATATCAAGAAGAAACAAGGATGCCAAGCTCCTATGAGCACCAAGACAGGCGCCAAAGCAGGCTTCCTGTCAAAAGGCGCTCTCTCACATTTGATCTGATTCACAGCCAGCTACCGCAAGGAGCAGTTCTATCGTACATCATTGGTACATGAGGTACCTCATCAAGCTGCACCAGAACACCATCAGCCCACAAGTCGAACTCTGCTTCTTGCCAACCAGAAGGCTACAGAATGCCTCTACACCATCAAAAAAAGGCACAGTCCAGGCATACAGTACTTTGAAGGCTAGAGATGTGCCAAACGAATTTCAGAGAACAGCCACAAACTCAACGACATAGACCTCTTCAAACCGACACCATTAACATGGAACCCCGCTTGAGCATTCCCTCGGTTACACACTGCAGCACTTGCACGACCTCGAGAATATGCACCGAATCCAACAAACAAAACCAGAAACAACATTACCATACACTAACCTGTCTCTCCATCGCTAACTCCGTGACGACACGGACCTCACTGTTATATGCCAGCAGCATGCTGGGAAGCTGGAACAGGGGGACGGGTCTCAAAGGGATTAAGCGGAAAAAAAGGGAATGGGAAAGATGAAGAGAAAGTGGAAAGGCGGCACGGGATAAAGACCACTTCTGCAGCTATCAAAAGGGTCTGAGCGGCTATTACGTATGGCACTCACTCTTTCTTTTCTTTTCTTTTCTTCGAGCCTGAATCGGACTGTGTCCAGATAAGGGACCGCTATTGCAACTATCCGTTCGTTTTTCTCAAGACTCTTCTTCCCTGCGCTGAGTCAGAGAGACGACCCAGAGAAACAATTGCAGGAAGATTCTAGTTTTCCACCTACACGAGGATGAACCCTACAGGAGGAATTGGCCACCAACTTCAGTGGTATGCTGGCACCAGCCTCCTACTTCTCCAGCTCCGGAAGCTCTGTTTCACACACATCAACGCCAACAAGCAGACGATAAACAGCACAGGTTGAGAAAGAAAGAAAAGCTATCGATCCAGAGAAAGCCTTTGCCACTTATCCCAGGCTTCAGATAACAGAAAAAACACATCTGCCGGACATCCCAGCGCGGTCCACAATGAGCAGCTAGATCCCCTTCCTGCCAAATACGGACAAACGATGTGGCGGTGGACGTGTTCACAAAGCGTTCAAGACACTAGCCCGACAGCCTGACCAGCGACCTGAAACCACAAACAAGTCAAAAAGAACTGAAAATATGTTTTTCGCATCATTGTAAAACCTCAGACCAGTCCAAACGAACTGAAAACAGCTATCCGCCTGCTCTCAACATACACACAAGCAGCTCAAAAGCTACATACAAGCATATAAAAAAACGAAAAAAAAACACTTCCGCGGCCTGTTGGTTAAGATCCCCCATGGAATCTGCTCGGTTCAGCTTAATATTTGGAAAACTAAACACGAAAGAAATGATGCACGTGTTCACAAAAAAGAGACGAGGAAAGCCTAACCTGGACCTCCATTACATTACCAACCAGAAACGAACTGAGATTTCGTCCAATTCAAGTCAATCTGCAACCACAGTTGCCTAACCTGTGGCCTCTCCCTTGAAAGATGCATATTCTTTCATCCGTAAGCCCTACAAGATGCATTCTCAGATTGCAGTCCACTAAAGGATAGAGAATTTACAACAATCTTTGCCCCATGCCCCGACCTCCATTACATTACCAACCAGAAACGAACTGAGATTTCGTCCAATTCAAGTCAATCTGCAACCACAGTTGCCTAACCTGTGGCCTCTCCCTTRAAAGATGCATATTCTTTCATCCGTAAGCCCTACAAGATGCATTCTCAGATTGCAGTCCACTAAAGGATAGAGAATTTACAACAATCTTTGCCCCATGCCCCTGTCAGCAAGCTGCACAACTTTCACCATCACCCTTGTGATCAACAAGTTCGACCCGCAAGTGCACTTGGAAAAGATGCCAGGCCCAATGGACACGAAACGAATCCGGCGAATTTGACAACAAGGAATACTAAGCAAATTTGAACAGTGGTCAGAAGAAAGACATTCAGCAAATACCCATCCAACAAAATACCACACCTTTTAGGAGCATCTAACAAAACTGGCAACCTCTAAGGTGAATTAGGTAAGTGAGTGCAAAAGAAAAACACCTCAAACCTTTGCCACAAGACAATAAAAACAAAGAGCTCGTCGCCCACAAAGCACCCGAGCACGAGTAAAAAAAAACCAACATCACGGCATCTGGTGGTCACTTAAAACACAGTTGCACATGCTCTCACTGCCACCGTCTGCACACATATCTTTTGTTCTTCCTTTCTTTCTCTGCAGTTGTTTTCTTTCTTCCGTTTGGCTTCTCATGCTCTTTTATTCCTTCGACTGTGCGTCTCAAGGTAAAACGGTAGCCAAGTGTGTCACTGAGCACGAGCTGACTAATCCCCCTTGTGTGCAATAATGGCCCATTTGAACGCGGCACAAAAGAGGCAGACGAAATGGAGACGGGAGATCTTTTCATATACATCAATCCTCTTACTACCAAAAATATCCCTAAGAGTCTGGCTGGCAAGCAGATCATGTCAAGGGAGACATACCATCATCATCGTCGCTATCAGCTTCCTCGTTCTCAGCGCCATCAAACTTCTGCAGAAGCAGAATCAAGCCAAGACAAAGAACATTGTGAGCTCTAAACATCCTGGGCAACACAACTCAGAGGACAACAAATATTTAACAACGTGCTCACCTATGAATATTTCACAGCCTCTCTCTCTATCTCTCTCTCCACATTGGATTGGGTGAGAAAACAGGCAACACGTGCCAAATTTACATTTGAAAAGGAAGTCGTCGAAATGGTCCACACTCCACTCATTCCACAGGGACATCTGCCTCAGAGAAATAAAAGAGGAAACTGTGGATTCGAAGTTACCCTCGAAACACGTCTACCATCGGTCAGGAGGGCGTAACCACTCCTTGGCAAGCCCCGACGGGGGAGAGGATAAATGACAAAGGGGAACCCATCCTCAACACTCGCCTAGGCGTGGCTACATGAAAAAGTGCAGAAGGGTACATCGGCCAATCAGAAGCTAACACCTTCATCCTTCCACATTTACGTGGGAAGCTCATATTTCACTCCCAATAAATGAACCGTTTCGCCCCATAAATGGTCATCAAATGCACACAGAGGTAATGCATCCGAGATGCCTAGCAAGAAAGGGACGCAAAAGGGGGCCACGAGTCCCATTATACCCTGCAACCAAGGATAAATCAAACATGGGAAAGAACCCAGCACACTTTGAAATGAGCAGATGCCCACGGTTCACAATCGTGCCCATGTTTTCTGAAGCCCTCCAAATCGCTATCAAGAGTTGTATTTTATCTGTCAACTGCGACCCTGAGCATTCACCACAAAACGAGGACGGCCTTGACGCACTAACAATGTAAGACCATGCATGATCACAGGAGAGGACATAACACAAGGAGCCCCAACGTCTGTGCAGTCACGAAGCACAAGGCGACGATATAAGACAGTTGTAAGATTAGTCACATGAAACGGGAGGAAGCGCAACCCACAAAGATAAGCATGCTACAGAAGACTTCATTTCGATATAGGACTTCAGGAAATGTCAAAACAAAGAGAAGGTGGTGACAATGGGCAATGGAACGCTGCTGAACGTACCGAGAAATCCTCCATTGATCCAAGGTCAAATTTATCAACTGCATCCAATAACAGACAGATAATAACAGACAGATAACGAGAGAAGCGTCAGAGAAGCAAAACAACAACACATTGTTGAAAAAGCAAGCAAGCAAGCAGACAAGAG